AGTTCCGATGTTGTCCATCGAATGAGAAACGAAAGCTCAGTCCGTTTACGTTCGAAATGAGGAAGGATGTCTCGTGAACTGCGCCAACCTGAACGTCGTTTTAAAGCTAAACGGCTGCAGTACAACGTGATTCAGCAGTCATTTTCCGATGAGAATGACCTTTAATTATCTTATTTTATATACTTTCATAAAAAATAAAAGTCTCTCTAAAAGAAGAGTGATTGTCTGCAAAACTTCAAGTAGGAAATATAGCTATATTAAAAGTCTAAATATATAACTTTGGAACTAGACGATCCTTTCTAAGCATAACTAGAAAAAGATCCAGCTCTTTCAATCAACTTTTTAAGGGCCAATTCAAAGTGAAAATGCTGATTCGATTTTAATACACTCTTAGTTGAATTTGGATTGTACATGACGTTTGGACCAAATTAGCTCAAATCGAAGGTGAGTCAGCCAAGTTCGTCATCTTCACCTGCTAATATAGCGGCATAATCCTGATAAAGAATGATTCCCTTCTGGGGATCCAATGCAGCCGCAAGCATTTCTTCCATTTCTTCTTTTGAAAATGGCTCGCCTAAAAGGCTTTTATGCATCAAAATACCAAAATTACCCTCTGAAGTTAAGACCATTTCTAAGGCCTCCGCAGCAACATAGTTTTTCTTACCCGCATCTAAAACTTGAAATGCTTTGACGAGCTCCTTTTCTGAGGTTAAAACAAACCTGCAAAGTATATTTCAAGATTACTATTAGTCATATATATATCCTTGTGTATGCGTGTTTGTGTCTGAAGGAAGTATTTATAAACTTTTAAGTGATAAACAAAGACATTATGACAAAATAAATTTTATTTATTTATTTTGAAACGTAGTCATATTGAATGATATTAGAGACAGATCTCGTGAAAATCAGATATTTAAAAATGAGTACGTTTATGATATTATTAATAGATCCTGAATAAAAATTGTAGTCATCTTAGATCCCTTGAGGTGATGAAGTACTAGTAGTTAAATTTTCCACAATGGCATAAGTAGGCCTCGCAATACCATTGTCTTTTATCCAGCCCTGCTCTCCAAAAGTTATTCTCATCCTGATTTGACTAGACTGCAAACAAAACCAAATTCGGCTAATACAGCTTATAATTATGACATGTTACCAATACGCCACAGTGCCACGGTTGTCAGTGGGTTCAGGGCAGTTGTGGCTTTCAAGGCAGGCCAGACTTCGTTAATATAACATTGTTATACTGGGATTGTCGATGAAGCCGACGTGTATTTGTCATTAGGATCGACAACGTAACGTGTTCTCGCAGGGAGTAGGCTTTTCGAAACTATCTGTAAATCTTAATAAAGAACTTTTGGCTGTGTGAACAATGAAAACATGCCATAAACAACGCTGCACTTCCCGCGTTCTATTGCATCTATGGCGCTGATGTGACCCAAGGGGGACCAAACTGCATTCTGGACCAGTCGGGATAAGAATACCTCTCGTGAATCAAGGCTTAGTGAAATTCAAAGACGTAATCGTTTCATTGTATGTAATTTCCATATCACTCCTTAATCAATTAAGTCGAGTCTGAAACCGAGATTCCTTACTGTGCAACTATTCATCAATAAACAGTGGCAAAAAAAATAGTGAGTGATGAAACAGACGGTTTAAAAAAGATTTCCTCAAGACATCAACATTAAACTATTTACGATAACATTTTACTATTGCATATATTTATGGATTCATTTACAATTTTGGGATTGCTATGATATTTTATTAGCTCTAAAGACAAAATAAGCCTCTCCTGGTGACGTCTTACTTTGAATAAACTGAATCACGAAGAAAAAAAAGTGTTGAACATTGAAAGGTATGAGTGTTATTATCTTGGCAATATCCAGTATTTTATGGGTTTTTGTGACTATACGCGTAAGCATATACCTGGAAATTCTCCAAAAAGGAAATTAGAATGGAAATAGCTTACATTAATGAATTCATAAAAAAAGGATAACGGTTGAGTTAGATCTTTGCGTAAATTGTGGCCAAAACGAAAGGGCACTCCTAACTACTTTGTCTGGGTTTTTTCGATGGCACTCAATAGGAACTAGAGATCAAATTATGAGAATTAGAAATCATCTGAAAGAATCGGTCAGACTCATGAATAGTGAAGCAATTTCTATAGTACGATGAAAGGATTCACTTTCTCATAAGAAGAGATGAAGCAAAGATTCGGGAAATATGTCAACTAAACATGCGATCATTCTGCGTAGCATTTCTGAACTCATAGAGTGTAAACCACTAATTCTTAATTATACAATGAGCCTTGGGCCAGTAATAATATAAAGCTTATGAAAATTTCACCCTTAAGGCAGGTAAGAGATTCATGGATAATGAAGATGTCTGGTCATTAAAGTCTTTATATGAACCCGAATATGGATTGGCTAAGTTATCATGCTTAAAAACAATAAAGCATTGGATATGAAAAAGTAATACATTGTTTCTTAACCTCAATTTTTGGACAACCTGTCTAGTCGCGAGTCATTTTTACACCATTCATGTTCATAGAAAAAGGGGTAAAATAATGAAGCTGGTGAGTCTGGAAGAAAGCTTTATCAAAACGTTTGAAATAAAATTAAAATAAAGGGTATCCTAAATGGTGTAGAAGCCTACTTTCAGCCTATATTTGAAAATATCTTGCTCCTGAACCATTGTTACTTTATGTAGATAAAGACAAAATGTGCGTATCAATACAGATGATCTATATCCCAGATTTGAGTCCTGATTTTGAACCCCTTCTTCTAGTGGCATAAATGCATACTGACATTGTGCTAAGTGTAGTTGGTGATTTATACATACTTAGTTTCTCCTATATTTGAGTAAATATTTCACTGCATTGAGTTTAATTACTTGTATCAATTTCTGACATCTCTCTTCTCATTTTTTAAAATCCCTTTTTATACAATTTTCTTGCCAGACCCATTATATCGAGACTTTATTTGTGTATTTATTCTTATGCTATGCTTATCAATTTCTTATTATCGAGTAATCCATCCGAATAGTATCTATTTTTTAATATTTTTTGTCCTTGATTTAAGAATACATTATAAACATGATCAATTAGACCTCAACTTCAAAATGGTGTTTGCAGCCCATATAGGTTAAATCTTGCTATACCCGGGTTGAATAAACAGTTGCTTGTTTACTTTCTCATCCTTTATAATTATGATTTTTATGGCTCGTACATCTTTCTTCTTTATAATGCACAATTACTACTATTAAATTCAACCAATATTCAAGACCATGTATGTAAACGTGGTTTTTAAGTATTTCTCGATATAAGAATCCAGTTTGACGATTACTTATGATAAGGTTCCTTCCTATCAATCAGTTCGGGCCATTTAACTCTAACTAGAAAAGTGGCTGGCTCTATCGAAACTTTCTAAATTTTAAACGAAGATGCATTTTGAACTTTTGGCATAGGGATATATATGGATGTCATACTCTGAGACTCTTAAATACCCATAATAGCCAACTTTCAAGGTTCTCTTTTTAAAGTGTTTAGGTAAATGTGCTTTATCCAAACATATGTTTCACTAATTAGTTTTCCAATTTAAGTCTAATGCATTCGCCAAACTTTTGATAAAAAAATTTGTTAAATAACTCCTCGATTATTTTTATTTAAATAAAGCCATTGTATCTTCAATTTTTCCTCTTTATCTCAGTACTACTTTTATTTTAATTTTTGCTAATAGGACTACATAGAACTATACCTGACGGTATCCTTAAAACATGAAAATGATCCAATCTTCACAATTAAATCGACAATAAATTAGGAAAAAAGCCAAGAAAAAGCGAAATCCACAAAATTAACAGTATAAAAAATTAATCGCATTTTAGGAGAGGCCAACTCTATGCTTAGACTTCAAGGTTAAAGTAGCTAGACTAGGATGACTATATTAATTTTGGGGGCTCTAAAAGGAACATTAATATTTTTTAGATGCTTCTTTTCCTCAGCATGTATTATATTGAGCAAAGCAACTATGAAGATGAACAACTATAAAATTTATTCTTCTTAATGCTGGTGTTCATGAAAGTTTGGCAGGCCTCATGAAAAATCTCTAGAATAGGGTGAATAAACCCCATAAATTTGATATAGTGGTAGACTATTTTGTTTATAAGACAGTTTTAGATGTACCTATTCATACAAAGTCGATAAAAATCTAGGAATAAATTATGAATACATAAATCCTGAATTGGTAACTTATATAATGATTGTTCATTCTAAATTATAGCATCGACAAATTACGGACTCAATAATTATATATATAAAGAAGGGATCTATCTAATAACAGCTAGACTTGAAACCCACATTTGTGAGTGTTTCTTATGTACCTATTCATAAGTAAATATAAATGCTTTATATGTTTTGTATAAACATTATAGTTCTAGCTATTCTATCTTCAATATGTTCATTCGCATAATCTATTAGTACATTAAATAGGAACGAACGGCAAATTTATTAAAAATATAATCCCCCAAAAATAATAAAAACAAATGATGTTTGTAAGGGATTGCTATTCAGTAATCATGGAAATCCTGTTAAATAAGAACAAAATTAGTCAATTTATCAGATTAACAAAAAAAATAAAAACAAAAATGGGAAACTTTTTTATCGCTAACAGTTAATGCTAAAGACAATAAAATCTATATCAAGTTATTGTTAAATAATATGTCGTATTATATAATTATCCATTTGTAATCATCGCATTATTTTAAATATTAAATAAATCCTATGTAGTTAAATATAATTGGTCATTTTGATGGAGACAAATATAGGTGAATTTATGTACAGAATGAAATATACATAATAGGTTCTCATGTCTTTACATGAATTGGCAATCAGTTAATCTTAGTAGTGGCCTTGCGGCCGATAATAAGTTGAGAAGTAATTTCATCATTGGTATTATGTTATCAGAATAAGGCATATAAACTAACTGCTTAAAATAATAACAGTCCTTTTACACCAATTTTACAAATGCAATATAAATGAAAAAATAAAATACGGCAAAAAATTTAAGCCATCAATTATTTACCTTCGTTCAGCCAACATTTCTTGCATAAGTGGCAAAAATTTATCCAAATTAACATATCCATTAGGGGGATCGTTTTCAAGCTATGCAATATTTATAGCAATGCAATTTACCTGGACAAGTATTTCATGTAAATCCGCCTCTGATGGGGCACATCTAAGTGCTCTTATTACGGTACCAAGTTCACGAACATCTACTGTACTGTTTCTTTCATGATCAAATAGATCAAATGTCTTTTTAATTAGACTTTCGTTGGCTTAATAACAGTGAATATTTATTAAGTCTAACCTTCAATCTCATTGACAGGTAAAGAGTTCATTTGAAAAACCACATTGTGTTGCTAAACGCAAATAACTTATTTTAAATACGTTCACTTATTTACATAAATATGAGTATCATATTCAAAAAAGGTTTAAATTGGTTTTAAATGTTTACGTTTTTATATATATTTTGGTAATATGCGAATGCTATTATTTTTTGTGGTTAGTATAGTTTTAGTAATATTTGCAAAGTTAGGAGTACCATGCGAGATTTTTCTATGTAAAACTATGTCAGTACAGACTCATGTATAAAAAAATTTGATTAAATATATTTTAAACTTTTTTATATCCTTGAGCTTGCAAGCATATAATTTGTAATGCCATTATTTTTAATAAAATCCATTTTGGTTAACGCAGCCTCGAATATCAAAAAGCTTTGATCATTAAAAATATTGGAAATATAATGAAAACTGACGTCGTCTATTCCAGCCAAGTTGAGATGACCCAATTGAATTTTTATAGCATAGTAATAATTACACTTTTCATTGCTGTAAATTATATTATTTGTTCTTCATCACCCTATGAATCCCAGAATGAATACAATTTATAATTATTAGTTTATTCTTTTGGATTGGTCTGCCCGTCCTTAGTAGTCCGATTAATGAAACTTACAATTAACCCCTCATGATTCTGTAGGGGGTTAATACTATGACTTTAGCAATGACCGTAAACCAAAGCATATTGGAGAAACAAGAATCAAAGAGCACCAACGACAATGCAGAAAATTGGATACGAATAGGCCAAATACAGCTGAATGCATTGATTTTACCGGCTACATAATTGACGAGAGTGCTAACGAATAACTGGCCTAATATCAGGAGTACAGGAGTAAAATGGAAGAACAGGGAACTGTCGACATTCTCTTTCGAAGAAATCTGATAAAAATAAGGTTATAAGAGGGAAGAATCGGCGATAATTTTGCTTACTGTCTAGGAAGACACCCAGACGCAGGGGAACGGCGAATAATGCCTCAAGCAGCACAGATAGGGTGGCAGGAGTCGTATGATATATGTGAATCAGAGAGAGAGAAAACGGATCTCACGGGGCAAGAGATAACCTGTGATAATACCTAGGGAAGGAGGACTGCGTAACAATATGGCAGACTCTGATTAACATTCCCAGCATAAGGGTGATGAGGGCAGAACTATAGCGTGTAGTGTGAATGTTCTTCATGAAAGCTGCTCAAATGAGCACAACACACTACATCGAAATAGGCACGATAAAAATTGAGAAAGGGAAAGTGTGATAGAAGGATATAGG